GACTTGTGGGAGGTGATAGAGGGGGTCGTCCTCTGTCGATAAAAACTCCCAATTCAATTTCAAATCTCTGCTAACCCCAACCAAATCTTGACTATAAAAAATCAAAATAAAAAAAAATTCTAAAAATTCCCGGACCTACCCCTTTTTATCAAAACACATTTGCACTATACTGATGCACTTTACTGACGCAGCTTAGTCATGGACGTAAAAATAATTAAGAACGAAACGTGGACCCTAAAATCGGACCCCAGGCATTAATGGCACGAACTGTACATATATATGTAGTTCCTTTTTTGAATACGTTGACGTGGGGCGCTAGTGTACGGAGGAGATCGTCGGTCCCATCCAAAAAGCCGGCGTGGCCTCTCTCCCGCTTCTCTCTGTTTCGGCAGTCATTTCCTTTGACTATTGATTATATAGTCAATGGTCATTTCTAATTTCGAAGAGTCCTTATGATTGGTGATCCATCAGAACTCGTAACACCGGTCGTGCTTTTCTGATTATCTAGCACTCTAGGTTTTCTATTAAATCTATGAGTCCTCTAGGGAATTTGCAAGTTGAAACAAACAAATCTTGTATAATTTCCTAGCGCCACCATTTTGGCGCATTAGCGCATTTGCGTTGACTAGCGGAACTAAAATATTGAATCGAGTCTTCTTTCATATGGTGCTGATGGTGCTCTGGAACACTTCTGCTGAAAGAATGCGCGCATTTTCGTACGACACATTGAAGAAAATGTTCGCATAGTATCATTCAGAAAACTCGATTGAGGATAAACTTTATCATTTGTGTAAATCGTGTGAGAAATTTATCGATCAGTATTTTGTTCGCCATGGACAGGAGAAAAATGTCGTAAGTAGAAAATATATCGCGACATTGAAGACGCCCAACGTTATAACTATGCGCTGTCATCTGCCGTTTTGCACACCTTTTCGGTGCTCATCTGCTACAATTTCCCTGTTAAACTATTCCATTAGTTGTTCGTTGATACACTTGTTTCTTTGGAAAATGGATTAACCAATAATCGTAACGACATCTAAATAATTCTTAGAATTTTTTTCTTTATCTATTCTTGCCGGTTGTTATCCACCTATCTTCAGTAAAATGTATTAGATTTTAGATATAAAAAGATAACGTATGTTACTTACACGTAGATATTTATGCGAATTTTCAAGAACACTTTACAAAAATATCCGTATATAAAGTTTTGTATAAATTTCTGACTGATCATTTGTTAGGTTATTTCAAATTTTTCAGTATTTTTGATCCATAGTTTTATAATTATATCATGATTTTTTTCCTTTTTATCTTTAATTAAATTTATCTATTATTTATATTCAAAGTATTTATTGTACTTAAATATCAAAATACAAAACAATTTTAAACAGTAGCTTGATATTCTTTAAAACTATTTGAATCTAATAAGAAAAATGTAGCGGTATACTGCCAATTTTCCAGCTAGACTTAAATAGAACATGGAATAAAAGCTTTAAATGCATTGGTATCAACTACATCTTTGTTTTTATTGGAAATTAAGCAGAACATGTTTATGTGTTTTTGCTTTTTTGTTTAAACAAACTTATTATTTAAATAATTACAAAATAACATTCATATGGTTTTTGCAATTTGTCATATACTGCTGTTATATATGTGCCAGCATGTTGTCGATAGAACTTATAATAGATACTTTGCAAAATCTGTTTTCAATAGATGTACTTAACTGAGAAGTTGTCAATTCGAAATCCTTCTTTTTGAGATATTAACTCGTGATTAAATAATATAAACTTGATTTTTATTAAACTGATGAATGATTAGGAATGCGGTCTACTTGACGCTACAAATGCTCGAAATATTTGATTGATCTAAAGAAGAAAGAATTTCTATTAATTGACTAAACAAAAAAATACTCTTAAGCATTTGTAGTATCAAGCAGACTGTAGCCTAGATCGATTTTGTTTATCATGTTATATAAAAGATTTCTTAATTTATGGCTATTTATTCTTCAGTACAGCAGGGGACTCCCTCTATCAGATTTTGGAAGTTCCAAAAACTGCTACTTCGGAAGAAATTAAAAAGACATATAGAAAACTGGCCCTGAAATATCATCCTGATAAAAATCCTAACAATCCAGAAGCAGCTGAAAAGGTTATTTTATTTTTATTTGAAAAATTGTGTACATATATGTGTATGTTATCATTAAAATCCATTATCTGTTATAACCCGATTTTCCCTCATCTCCATTTGTGTTTAAGATTTTTCACACAAAGCGAAGTCCACCCCACACCTCCTGCTTACAGGGCACAACAAGATCTCTAGTTGTACTGGTCCACATGGATTTTCAACTTTCCACGCGAAGCAATATCCATCCCATATCCATCCCTAACTAATGAAATCGAGTTTTAACGAATTATGGATTTTTATAATAAAATTATATATATATATGTATGTATACATATATATAATAATTATTATTTATAATATAATATAATATAATTTATATATTATTTATAATATAATATAATATAATATAATTTATGTATTATTTATAATTATTTATATATATATAAATTTATAAGAACATTTTTTTCTCAAAAAAGTATATACAATTCAAGTTACCATATTTCAAGTATTAAAAACTATTGAAAGTAATAATTTTAAATTTATATATATATATATATAAAATTTATAAATTTAAGTATATTGTTTTTTTATATTTTTTTTTATTAAAAATTTTGAAATTTATTTCTTATGTTTTCTGCATAGATATAATATCTTGTAATTAAATCTTTACAGTTTAAAGAAATAAATAGGGCACATGCTATACTAACAGATCTAACAAAACGTAATATATATGATAACTATGGATCTCTTGGTCTATACGTCGCAGAGCAGTTTGGAGAAGAAAATGTTAATGCTTACTTTGTTGTCACTTCTGGATGGTGCAAGGTAAGAGCAGGATTAGATCAATACTTTAATTTCTAATACAATTATTTTATTATTATATATTGGTGATATAAGAATAAAATTATATTTTATGTTTATTAATATTTACAATATATATATATATATATATATATATATATATATATACACTTCTCAACAAAATTAAAAAATCCTGTTTTATCTTTCATAAATAGGCAAATTTTAAGATAGATTTACTTTGCCAAAAATGATCGCAACAAAATTTTTCAAAAAACATTTTACAA